CCCTTGAAATAGGCAAAGAAATATTTAGGGCTTGTTTAAAATTTTATTACTGATTTATTTTTTAGACCGCAACAATAATTTTTGGTTGACTATTATTTTTTATTGCTTTCAATATTTTGTGTACTGAAAAGTTGCTTTTTATAGTAGCTTTTTTAAAAGTTAATTTCTTCGTAACATTTTTATAACCACCTATATAAAAAACTACAACCGTCTCAAATAAACCCTGAGTTTTAGTTTGGGATGACTTTCTTATTATTTCTTAAAGCAGCTTTCTATAGAAAGCTACTTTAAGAAGCAATCTATAGAAAGATACTTTAAAAAGCAAAAAGAAAGTCATCCCAAAAGGAGCCTTAGGCTTCGTTTATGACGGCTTATTATTGCTTTTTGAAGCAGCTTTCTAGTATAAAAAATTTAATTTTTATGCTAAAAAGTTGCTTCAAGAAGCAATAAAAAATCTGTCCCAAACAAAGCCTTATTATATCTTTGTAATTTTGTATGCAAGTAAGGCTTCATTTGGAATGACTTTCTTACTGCTTTGATTTTCAGATCCCAAACACAATTTAAGTTTGGCTATTGTTTTTCTTTGCTTTTAACTTTTTTTTTATACTAATAAGTTATTTTTTACATCAGTAGAAAAAAATATATTTTTTTCTACTATAACCTTACAATCATCTCTACAAAACACTGCAGTCGTCCCAAAAAAGCTCTAAAATCTCATTTACACATACAAAACCATCTTATTTTTATGTCCTTTTCTACATTTTTATCTTCACTATCCTAACCTATATATAATCAACTTTATTTCATAAATAAATGAAAAATCTCATGATAATTAAAATAAAAAGAATTACAACATATCACAAAATTCAAAGCCATGCACTCTCATGGACCACCATTGGAATCATTAACATCATTTTGCTGCTTTTTTGTCAAACAAATCGTTATCATCCGCTGACCTAATACTTAACCTGCCCAGATTATTCCCCTTTGACATTCGAATCACTTTCAGCTTAGAATATTCTAAGGATATAAGTCTATATATATATACACATCTATGTATATTTAATGATGGCAAAAATTCAACTGTAGTGATGGTATGTTGAATTGATTAGTTGAAAAAATGCATGAGTTTTTATCTAAATATAGCATTAATCTCCACCTAATCTATGAGATTTTCAAAAGTTTATCTACATTTTCTTAGAAGATATTTTTTTTTTTAAAGGATCGATAGAGACGCTTGAACTACTTTTACAATATATCTACCTCAAGTCGAAGAGATTATAATGTGTTTAAAAAAATAAAAGACAAGTTTTATTTGACATAATTTCTTATTGATTTTTAAAGTAGCTTTCTAATACAAAAAATTTTTGAGCTAGAAATTTTTATACTAGCTAGAAAGTTATTTTAGAAAGCAGTAATAAAGCTATTTCAAACAAATAAAATTTTATTTGGGATAAGTTTTTTACTGTTTTCTAAAACAACTTTTTAATACAAAATTTATACTATTAGAAGAATTTTCATACTAAAAACTACTTTAAAAAATAATAAAAAAATTATAGTCTTTCTTGTTTTGCTTGCAAGAGCATCAACTTTGACAATATGTTTATATGAAAGTTTTGACATTGGGTATATAAAATATTAATTTTTAAACATATAGAGAAGTGGTGAATCAAAATCATTATCATATAATATAATGAGGGATTCATAAAATATATTTTATTTTAAATAAATTAATACTAATGATATTTTTTTATATAATTTATAAAATTTGAATGTTACATAAATTTATAATATATATGTAAATCTCCAAATTATAGAATATATAAATAAATTAGAAACATATTGGATTAAGTGAACCCAAATAGTAAAAACTAACATGATGGAAGAGACTTGCATATTCAGAAATTTCTTCTTAGAAAATTAATCATAACCACCTTTTAAGAATGTTAAATGTAATTATTCAAGATTTGTTCGAAGCAATTGCAACTTTTTATAAAGATTGTCAAAGAGATTGTGAAGCTATTATATAGAAATAATTTTTTTTGAAAAATATCATAATAAATAAATATATATATATATATATATATATAAAGTCGGTCAATAATTTTATTGCAGCTCAGCATATTATTAATAGGTTTCTTTAAGATGACTTTTAATTATTGCTTAAAATAGTGTTTTTTTAATAAAAAAATAAAATTTTTATACTAAAATATTACTTTAAAAAATAATAATAAAAACTATCTCAAATGAAGCCTAACACTTTATTGGGACGGCTTTTTATTTCTTCTAAAATATACTTTTAATAAAAAAATAAAATTTTTGTACTAAAAAGTTGCTAAGATAAACCGTTACCCAAAATTTTTGTACAAAAAAACTGTTATAGAAACAATAAAATAGCCGTCACAAAATTTATTGTACTAAAAAAAACTGCTTTAAGAACAGTAAGAAACTTCTAAATCTGATTTGCGAAAAAATAACTTTTCACAAGAAAAAAACAACAACCAAATGAAAGTATGATTATGATTTCTTAAATTCAACATATATGCACAAACTTACATATAAATTTATATAAAAATATGAATAAATATACAAACATGTGTATATAAAAAAATCATCTCAAACCAAAGCTCAAACAGAGCAAAAAACCATCACTGTAACTTACACAACTCACTTTCAAAACTGGCATTAAATACTCTGAAACACTTGTGTAGAGCAAAGAGAGCTAAAACGATCTCCCACAAGAGATCACTCCACATGGAGATTTTGTGGTCCCTTAAATCACATGGCTATTCACCAGAAGAAGAGCTGAGTTAGAAAAAAATTTACTGAAGTAGTTACTGAACCATACAGTTGGATGAAAGAATTAAATGCTCTTCACACTGAACGGTTAGAAATTAAATAGCTCGGCAAATAAGGAATACAGATTACAGACCAACCAGATGTTACTTCTCAAGAATCAAAATGCATTCACTTGCACTGAGAATTCATATGCAGCATTGGAAGTTTGTATTTTCTTTATACAGCATCTAAAATATCAAAAATAACGCACCCCTTAGATCTCTAAACGCATCATCACACCCGTTGGTTTCGTCGCCTTCGCCGCTTTGGTCACGCAGCCGATCGCCCTCACAGTCCCTCTCTCGTTTCATCTCCTTCCTCTTCATGAATCCCTATACAACAAAGAAGCAAGAAAATCATGTAGGAGCTCTCAAGCGAAGGATTTGGCGGGTCCAGTAGCCCCAACAATGATGAGATTCGACAAGGCTTGCAAGCGAAGGTATCAACAAGCCGAGCAACGGCGACATCAAGTGGAGCTCGCAAGTGAGGGCATTGGTGAATTTAAGTGTCGTGCATGGAGGAGGAAGTTGCATTAGACCTTCTCCAACCGAACTGCATACCATCATATGCAGTCGGCCATTCGGTCCATTCGAGCTCCAAATCCCATGCTAAAGTTCGGCATATTGGCGTCGCACTGTTCACCTACGTAAAAATTGGGCTACAGTATTTGCCGAAGAAGAGCACGAAAAAGAGAAAAGCACGGGAAAGATGAGAAAATGGTTACCTTCATAGGAAGCGTGCGAAAGAAAAGAGAAAATGTCATTCAATTGGAGATGAATTATTACATTTTGAAGTTTTGCTGCATTTTGGAGTGCAAAATAAAATTTTCGGTTTGAGATGCTCTTATTGATGTATGCAAGAGCTCGAAGTTCAATTAAGCTCACTGGGAGAATGTGTCGACGAGCTAAAAGATGGTATGATCTGACGAGCTCGTAAATGGAGTGCTAGATAGTGTAAATAGTGAAGCTTAATTGTTAAATATACAAATGATGATACTTTAGGTGCTATAGAAAAAAGCAATTTTTTTCTTAAGAACATAAAATGAGAAAAAAAAAATTCAACTTTCAACTCCATATAAATAATTTATTTCTCTTTTAAAAAGAACAGAAAAAAAAAAGTTTCACATTAAAAAACTTTCTAAAATACCCAACTTATCCTTTAGGCAATATTCTCAAATCCTCAATCCTAAGCTGTCTTTCTTCTCAATATGGTTTATAAGCAAATTAATAATAATAATTTTCTTTAATTCTCTAAATCTAATTCTCTAAATCATTTCTAAATCTTTTCTTCCCTCAGGTCTCAATCAGAGAGCAGTATTCAAACAATAAGGCACAGTAATCTGCCGTATAGAAAAATTCTAAAGAGAATATTTTCCACATTTGCCAATTGTAATGATTGTAATACAAAGAACAGTGCCTATGATGTGCATACAAATTAAGCTAGAAAATTTGGCTGTCAATCTCAAAGAAATGGCTATATGAGTGAAATGATTGCAGTATCCATAAAGAGCATAATATGGATAGCTTGAGTTCAAATAGATAACACAAAAGAAAAAGAAGCTCCAAAAAGAGAGCTTAAGCTTAACAAAGTTAATACTTTACTATACATGTGAAAACTGAGTAATTAACAACTAATTATATCAAAAAATCATAGTAAAAATGTTGCATTATGGCAAAAATTATAGGTCTAACCGTTACTTCTTAAGAAAACAATCACCATCACAAGCTATATTTTGTTGTTTTCTCGAAGCTAATCTCCAGTGAAGATGATGGCTTTTGCACTAGTTCATGCACTAATCATCTTTCCTTCGGCTAATCGATTCAACTGGAAATTCCTGATCAACTGCCCCATCATTGTTTAATAAGAACACAGAAGAACCAGTGTGTTTCAAAAAGCAATTATTAAATATGGTGAAATTATAAAAAGGAGCTTATGACTGCTAAGTATCAAAGAAGATGAAGTGTGTATGCCACGCACAAAATTAACTGAATGAACATCAATGAAACAGATTAAGGCTTCATTTGGGACGACTATCTTGTTGCTTCTTAAAACAACTTTCTAGTATAAAAATTAAAAGTCGTCCCAAACGAAACCTAAGTTGCGTTATTGTCATGAAAAACAAAACAAAGGAAAAAAGAACAATTAAGGCATCAAATGCTTGCTTGATCTGTAATGATGAAAATCTTAATTGATGACTGAAATGGTTTCCTGCTCGTTTAGTCTGAGATTTACAATATCACTGATGGAAAAAGAGCTCCACCAGATGTACAGTCAATTCATAATTCATAAGCAAACTCTACATGATATAATAAGATACATGACTAGGAAATTTGCCAAGAATAAATAAATTCAAAAGTGAATGCGCGATGTACCACTACAGCCAGATGGGGGGGAACTAGACAAATCAAATTGAAGTTCTCTGCATTCAATTGGAGTTCCTGCATCATCCAAACTTCTGCTGCAGTTAGTGGCATCTAAGGTCTGAGCAAAAAAAAAGTGTCACAAAGACAGAAGAAACTGCAATCTGCTTCAAGTTTCTATGTCTCTGATATCTCATCAACAGTTGATAGACCATCACTTTCAACAAATACTGGATCAAGAAACCTGGCCACAAAAGCCCACATCTTGTACACATCCACAAAATTTGTGAGGAATCCCAGAGATGCAGTAACAACCTCTACTCTTATAGTGACATTCTTACCGTCCCGACGACCGTTTGATACGGGGCCGCACAGGGATGGGTCGCTCAATTCAACAGCTCCATGAAGTGCTTTTGCATTGTCAATGACCTTTATATGGCTAAGAAAACCTATTCCCAACGAGATGCCATTTCTTTCAGCCAGCTTCTGGACAGTTTCAGGGTGTATCAAACCCCCACGCACATTCCTGACATTAAATGCCACAGCTGCACCCCTCTCATACTTGATCTTTGGCCCATAGATGCGAACAAGAGGCACCCCATCATCCCCATCTGATGTTGGTAATCGCAGATGAAGCAAGGAGGTCACAAGCCAATTGACCAGATATCGAAGCCTTGAGGTGGTTTTGTTTAGGCCCATCATATTAACATGATCAATATGTCTGCAAACTATTTCAGGCTCTCTTCTACTCCACTCTTGATCATCCTCATAGTCACTGCCACTGGCAACTTCAGCATCACCAAAATTATGAGCAGAAGCTTCCCCTGCATCCAAATTGAGACCAAACTTTTCTGTAGGTTTTATATCTTCCGCGCTGAATGAGACCCTCCGGCCCATGCTAACAACGTGCTCGTTATCTTCCACGCCGAAGAATCTGCCATGATTGAACCTGGTATTGTTTCCTTCCCTCCTACCTAATAACCTGAATTCACCTTCTGTTTCCCTTCTTATGGCACTTTCTTTAATTCCCATTGTACCTTGGTCCTGGAAAATTTCAGATGTTGAACCATTTTCATGAAAGTTTTGATGCCCAAAGGCTGAGCTTGAGTTGTCAGTTTTCCCTCCATTGGCAGAAGAAAACTTCACCACTCTCCGCCCAGTAGTCCCATTATCAGGCTCTTCCTGAATCTCATTGGTATGAGGCCTTTCTTCTTGGTTTTCCTTAATTCTTTCCAAATCCTGTGAAACTGATAAGACTGCTGCATCAAAAGAGAGCACATGATCTTCGCGCATCGGACTCTTTTTTGAAGGCAACTTTGGGGACACTCTCTTATGATTCTTCTTACCAGAAAACCAAGAAGGTGGTATTGGAGAGCCCATATTGCCTCTATTGAGCTGACCTGAATTGTCCGAGCCAAAGGGGCTCTGGCCCAAATCAATCCATAGAGAATTGTCAGATGAGTCATCTTCGCTGAAAACCGGGCTCTTCATCACCTCTCCAAGTGAAACACTTTCTGATTCTTCAAAGATAGTGCTAGCTCCATCCCTGTCAGAGCTATTATCCTGATCCATCTCAGTTTCAATCACATCTCTAACTTGAGCTGAGGTGAATGCACCAGAGAAAGCAGGCATTTGTGAACCTCGGCTAGCACCTGGCTTTGCCGATTCCTCAATGCCATCAATCTGGTCTTTATCAGAAGCATCAAAACCATCCAAACCATCCACAGAATCACTCAAATACTGTGGGAAGACAGGTAAAATTCTCACCATCCCTGATCCAGTGCCACCATTCTGGTTCTGCAAACAACCCATCACTGATTTCTTGATAAGTAGGCAACCAAAACCAGTTGGGTCTGATCCAAACACCCTGTAGAATGAAGTTATTATGAAATCAGGACGGTAAAGGGACAATCCCAGTGAATCCATGTCCTTGGGACCCAAAGATCCAGCATCAAGCAAAACATGCCAATTATTCTGTTGAGCCATGGCCATCCATTGATATGGATACTTGACTCCACTAACTCTGGACTGAACCGGGAACACGAAAAGCCCCACTGCCGAGTCCTTTTTTCGCCTTTTCTTGCAAGAGATCAGTTTCCTCAGTTCAGAATTACACACCTTAAGCGTCGGCCACTTGAAGCTCGCATTGTAAGCTTTTGCCCCCTTCTCCCTGGCACTCTGTGCCATCCAAATTACAGACTGGCTCTCATGATCAAACATCGTGAGCAGCTTCTTGTTGGTTTGAAAAGGATAAGACTCTGCAAGCAATCGAAAAGCAGAGCCTCGACTGACAGTAAACACAAGGCCATACTCATTCTCAGGGATGTTTAGATAATCCATTATTCTGGTTTTGATGTCATGCTCAGCTGTGCCTTTCTCTGCACCTCCATAGATGGCATGGTTGCTTAAGTTTGCAGTGATCTCAGAAAGACTAAAAGCAGAGGAGTCCCATTGCTCGAAGCTCTGAAGGTATGAAAACAGGCCGAAGCCACAGTAATCAAGGCATACCTTGGCGCTGGGCTCATCTAGGTGGCTGTACTCATCTGCGCGGAGCTGATCGATGAGATTTGATAACTGGTAATTGGGGTACATGGTGATATACTTTTTGAAACATTCCTGTAGCTCGGGGATGGAATCGAAGGATTCGAAGGTGCGATCGACTGCACGGGCCGTGGCACGGAGGAATTCCTTCTGTGCGTGGAGACGGGCGAGAGATCTAGACCGGCCAATGGAGCCGTCGCCGCCACCGGCCGCCTCAGAGCCGGCGGCGGCGTCGGAGTCGACATCTTGGGATTTGAAGAGAGAGCCATCCTCAGAGGCTTCTTCGAGGGCTTCACGGAGCTTGCTCTCTTGGAGTTGCCGGAGTATCGAGGGCTTGCGATGCTTGCCTGAATCGTCGGAGTAGTCGCTTCCGTCTCTCTGACGGCTCTTCTTCTTGTCGATGAACAAGGCGGCGCAGTGGGATATGGGCTTCCATAGTGATAGATGCATGTAGGCTCCGCTTTGAACAAAATTAGAAAATCATTAGAGGTGGATCAGAGCAGAAGCCCTATAAAAAGGTGAAGAAAAGTTTTGATTTTGATTTTCGGGCTCGAAATGAAGAAGAGGAACAGTAGAGTAAACGGAACCCTAGAGATTTCCAACATTCACGGACTTTTGAATGGGAATGGAGGGCTCTCGCTTTTGAAATTCCAAATCTTAGAACAAGAAATTAGCATTGACGAACTCGCAAAGAGCAGAGAAAAGCATAAAGAGTGGAGACCACATCAAAAGACATGGCTAGGAAGTAGAAAAGGAAAAGAAGTTCTTGAGGAAAGAGGGGATTTGGTTCCAAGTGAAGCCCTTTACCAAACAGGTATATTCAAAGACATAAAACTGAGAAGTCAGAAGAAGAAAAAGCAAACAAACAAGCAGCAGCCATGAAATCAAAGAACCATGAGTGCACAGGCAACAAGTATCAGGAACCCTAATTCGACGCCTCCACTAAACAGCCAAAAGAACAGATCTTACCATGAGTCTCTCTCTCTCTCTCTCTGCAGTTCTTCACCTTCACCAACCTCTGACTGCAACAAAATTAAAGCATGCCATCTTCCCCATCAACCCCATTTACTCCAATCTACTATCGTCAATCCAGATTTTCAGATAGCTTTTCTTCATTATTTTCCTAATATTCAAATTATGTCCATTTTTTTTCATTATTATAAAATATACTCGATTTCTCACCTAGCTTTTGACTCTCTTAACAAAATATCTCTAAACAAATAACCAAAAAAGGAAGTTGAACTAAATTTATCTTAAACAACTTGACAAACTATTCAGTTATTTACTTTTTATTATAAATTTTAACTATTCATATTTATTCATTTATTTATAAAAAAAATTTCTACAAACAATTCTGTCATGAATTCACCAACCAAAAAAAGAATTCAGCATTTTCATTGACTTCTCAAAATTTTTAGACATTTAGATGAATTCAGACAAAGGGACGGCTTTTTCATGGTTTCATAAAAAAAAAATAGCAAAAAAATTTAATCAATTTTTGTATAAAAAGATTTTATTTGGGATAATTTTCTGCTTCATAAAACAGTTTTTTAGTATCAAAATTAAAAATTTTATTTCAAAAAACTACTTTGAGTAATAAAAAATCGTCTCAAACAAAGCTTTTTTAGCTGCTTTAAGAAGCAGTGAAAAAGCCTTCTCAATTTTAGGAACTTTTATTTGGCCCGGTCGCCTAACGTAGATCTACGTTCGAACTCCAGTAAAATAGTGTCATGTGTTCTTACTGGCCCGACAACCCAACCCGGAACAGACCCAGGATTGCTATGTTCGCGTATTGCTAGGTATTGGTCGATTTTGCTCGGCAATAACAAGAAATATCATTCTGTGAAGATCAATACCTAGCAATACCGAGTTTTTCTCGATATTGCTCGGTATTTATCTTCACATAGCGGTATTTCTCGCTTTTGTATCAGTTTTTAAATTTTCATGGGACGCTATTGGCCAGGTGAATTATTTTGATATTCAAGACCCTGTAAAAACAGCAATTGCCAGTTTCCACCGTTGAGTTGTCATCGGTGTTAGTATTTTTGAATATTTTGAGCACTAACATCGGTGGTGGGCCCATTGCCAACTTAACCTCCCTCCTTTTTTTTTTTTCTTTTCTGTGACAAGCCAGAAAGTCAAATGGCCAATCGGTGTAATTAGCACGGGGGTCTCCTAACACTGGCCTTTAAATAAGCTTATTTGCGTGCTTATCTACTTATTAATGTCACCCTTCTGCCGCTGACAATAAAAATAATAATAATAAATTTAAAATAATGTTTTAATTATTTTGTGTTATATTAAAAAGTTGTTGCTGCATTTTCTTTTTTTATAAATAAAAATTTAAATGATATAATTTTTAGCGTGCCTTTTAGAGTGAAATATTAAGTAAAAAAATGTGTAGGTCTCGTTAGCTGAATATAAATACAAATATGAAATATGTTAAATTATTACAATCTTTCAAAAGAAAATTTCAAATTTTTTAAAATGAAAATAATTTTATTCTATGCTTGATTTGACCAAGTTAATCTTCATTTTAATGCTTAAAAATAGATTCGATAAAAATAATTTTGAATGTCATTTTTTAATTATGCTTTATTTTTATTTAATTTATAAAACAAATAAAATATTTATATTATGGAACATATGAACTTTAAACATATAAATATTGCAATTTTTTTAAAAAGAGAATATTAATAAATTTCATTTATTCATATAGCATGGTTTCTTAAATAAAAAATTAAATGGGCCTAGGGGTGTAAGTGATCCAGACTAGCTTGATCTCGAGTTCTCGACTCGTTAACAATATCACAAATCAAGCTTATCAAACCACAAAAATTGAGTCTCAAACTTAGCCTGATCCTCAGTTGTTAAACTCGTTGAGCCTCTAATAATTTTTAGAATAGTATTTAAAATTAAATTAATTTAGTATTATATGATATAATTTTAACATTTTATAATACATAAATATCATACATTTTTAAAATAATAAGAATTCTTAACAAATTATCTAAGAAATCGGGAGGAATCGAATCAAGTTCCAACTTCTTATTCAAACAAATCTATGTAATAGAGCTAGCGCAGCTCCATTAAATTTCTCGCATGAGCTCTCTGATAGGAAATAAGCTAACGAGTTCAAACTCCAAACTTATTAGAGAACTAGATAATTTAGTATCGAGTCTAAATAGCTAGACCTGGCCAGTTTGAGCTAGTTCTTATAAGGCTATTTTTACTTAATAGTCAAATTAAAATATTTTTTTTGGGAAATAATTAAAAATAATTAATGAGGTGAACGCAATAAATAGCTGCATTTAATGTGGTCAGTGACAGTATTGGGGGATGAGATTTACTTCATGTGGTCATAAAGAGTTTGAGGTGAATTTTAGATTTTTTTAGATCTCAATGGCACATAAACTCATGCTATGGAATTTTTATTTTTAGAGAAATTTTGGTACACATATTTGACAAATTTATAAGGAGGTATTTAAACTAAAATAATTTAAAAAAGAGCAAATAGGAAAATCAAATCACTCATTACAAAGAAAGTGAAAAAATTAAATGTTTTTATTTGAAACTGGAAAATTGTTTTTCGATTACTATTGATAGTTTATATTTTTTGGGTAATTTTTGGGCTTAGCCCGTATATTGAAGCAAAAAGATTACATAAGTGAGTCCTACTCAAAAACAAAACTTGGAGGAGCAAAAAGATGGCTAAAACAGAAAAAGAAATCAGTTTTCCGGTTTCAATGAAATCAAAAAATATATTTTAAGCATTTTTACATACATATTTTAGATTTCAGCTTTCTCTTAATGCGTGATTTGGTTCTCCGTGTTTACTCTTTAAATTATTTT